CCAACATGGTGGAACCTGGTCTCTACTAAAAATACAAAATTTAGCCAGGCATGATGGTGCACATCCATAATCCCAGCTACTTGGGAGGCTGAGGCAGGAGAATTGCTTGAACCTGGGAGGCAGAGTTTGCAGTGGGCCAAGATCGTGCCACTGTACTCCAGCCTGAGCAATAGAGCAAGACTCCATCTCAACAACACCAAAAAAATAGCTGGGCATGGTGGTGGGCACCTGTAATCCTAGTTACTCAGGAGGCTGAGGCAGGAGAATCGCCTGGGGATGCAGAGGTTGCAGTGAACCAAGATCACGCCACTGCACTCCAGCCTGGGCCACAGAGTGAGACTCCGTCTCAAAAACAAACAAACAAAAACATATGTCCTACTTCAAAAAAGAATAAAAGTACAAGGTATATAAGATTCAAGCTTTAATTTGCCAAATGCCAAGTGAGAGGTTCAGATGAGAAGTGCTGCAGGATGCACCAAAGGCTGGTATGCTTGAAAAAAGATCTCGGCTGCAGTGGGACGTCAACTTTAATGACACTAGAAGGCACAGTCCAGTGGGAAGAAGAGGGAAGGCCATTCTAGCATTCAAAGCAGCAGGAAAGTTGTATCAAAAGTAGGCCGGGCGCAGTGACTCATGCCTGTAATCCCAGCACTTTGGAGGCCGAGGCGGGCAGATCACCTGAGGTCAGGAGTTTGAGACCAGCCTGACCAACATGAGAAACGCTGTCTCTACTAAAACTACAAAATTAGCCGGGTATGGTGGTGTATGCATGTAACCCCAGCTACTTGGGAGGCTGAAAGGGAGAATCGCTTGAACCGAGGAGGCAGAGGTTGCGGTGAGCCGAGATTGCGCCATTGCACTCCAACTTGGACAACAAGAGCAAAACTCTGTCTCAAAAAGAGAAAAAAAAAAGTTTGGAGGCATATTCTCTTTATAATAGTAATTTAAAGAAAAAAAAGAGAACAAGTTTGGAGCAAGAGTACACATGGTATGATTAGGGAAGCAATGACTAGGTTGCTCCAGTTTGGCTGGAGCAGAGATTTGGCACAGTAGGCTTGAGGCAGGCAAGAGGATCACATTGTGAAGGGCCTTGAATGCAAAGCTAATTCATTTGGTTTTGTCATGTAAAAAAGGGGTGCAGCTGGGCGCGGTGGCTCAAGCCTGTAATCCCAGCACTTTGGGAGGCTGAGATGGGCGGATCACGAGGTCAGACCATCCTGGCTAACGTGGTGAAACTCCGTCTCTACTAAAAATACAAAAAAAATCTAGCCCGGCGAGGTGGCGGGCGCCTGTAGTCCCAGCTACTCAGGAGGCTGAGGCAGGAGAGTGGCGTAAACCCGGGAGGCGGAGCTTGCAGTGAGCTGAGATCCGGCCACTGCACTCCAGCCTGGGCGACAGAGCGAGACTCTGTCTCAAAAAAAAAAAAAAAAAAAAAAAAAAGGGGTCCAGTGACCACATCTTTGAGGACAAAACTCAACCTTTTACTGAGAATACATTTATACCTATCAGATCACGTGACTTTGCTTTGAGGCTGAGAAAGATTTCACCACGGCAATGGGGAGCCCCTGAAGGTTTTTGAGAATGGTGCCATGTGGGATTATCAAATTAGCCTGGAGTGTGTAGGGCTGGAGAGGATGGAAACCAGGAGGAGGAAGAGTCAGGCCCAGTGTGGTGGCTCACACCTGTAATCCCAACACTTTGGGAGGCTGAGGAGGGTGGATCGCTTGAGCCCAGGAGTTTGAGACCAGCCTGGGAAATGTGCAAAACCTCGTCTTTACAAAAAAATACAAACGATTAGCTGGGCACGGTGGCACATTCCTGTAGTCCCAGCTACCCAAGGAGGCTGAGGTGGGAGGATCACGTGAGCCTGGGAGGTCAAGGCTGCAGTGAGCCGTGTTTGCACTTTAGCCTGGGAGACAGAGTGAGACCCTGTCTCAAAAAGAAAAGAGAAAAAAAAAAAAAGAAGTAGGCAAGTCCTGATGTGGAGGACAGAGCAGTAGCAATGGAAATGGGGGAACGAGGTGGATGTGGTGGGGAGGAGAATTTGAAAGTGATGCCCAACACCTTGTTGGTGACATGGGTACACATGGAGCTGGTCGAAAGGCAATGCTGGCATTTGACAAGTTCCACTGGGGTGGCTGCAGTATATCCAGCAGCAAGAAGGAGCAGCCTCAGGCCTGAACTCAGGAGGGAGACAAGGGGTGCTGATTCAGATCTGGTAGTGACTGCCCACTCATTCTGGGAGACAGTGACGGGGCTGGCCTCTCTATAGGTTCTGGCTCTTTCTCATCAGCCCATCCTCATCAAGAAACACCCTCCCTATTCCACCTGAGTGATATGACCTTGGGCCAGGGATTAAGTGGTGACAGATTTCCTTAAGTACTTCAGTCTTAAACTGGCCTCTAAAATCCAGAAGCATCAAGATACTCCTCAATTTCCATAGGTTTTGGCTTAGAATCCATGACCCACTCTTAAGGGGCTTGGACCAAAGCATGTGAGGGGAAAAGCAAAGCTCAGTAGTAGGAGGTTCTAATCCTATTTCTGCCCTAGACCAGTCATGTGACCTTGAGCAAGTCACTTTTCCTTTTTGGGTTTGTTTTCCATGCCAGGGTTGGTCCTGGACGAGACTGGTTTTCAAATCCTACTTCTGAAGAACACCAGGAGCCCATGGCTGGACCAGCTTCTTTGTCCTAGATCGAGCAGACTCAGTCTGGGAATAGCTCCAACATTAGGTTTCTCTCCCATAGTATTTTCTTTTCTTTAATTTTTTTTTTTTTTTTTTGAGACGGAGTCTCGCTCTGTCGCCCAGGCTGGAGTGCAGCGGCCAGATCTCAGCTCACTGCAAGCTCCGCCTCCCGGGTTTACGCCATTCTCCTGCCTCAGCCTCCCGAGTAGCTGGGACTACAGGCGCCCGCCACCTCGCCCGGCTAGTTTTTTGTATTTTTTTAGTAGAGACGGGGTTTCACCGTGTTAGCCAGGATGGTCTCGATCTCCTGACCTCGTGATTCGCCTGTCTCGGCCTCCCAAAGTGCTGGGATTACAGGCTTGAGCCACCAAGCCCGGCCTAGCATTTTCTTAAACCATTAGCAATCCCTACTGTTTCCCAGCAAGGATTCACAGATAAAACAATGAATGAGGGCCGGTGACCATATTTGGTTTGACAGTCTTCTTGTTTCAGGAAACTTCGTGGTTATGGTGTTATATTACTCACACCATTGTTCTGGTTTCCAAAGCTTAAGTTTCAATGACTTTTCAGGGTGCTTCATGGAGGACTCCAGGACTCCCCAGTGCCTATAACCTGAAGAGACTGGAGAAATGCTGGAGGCAACACTCTCCAAGGACTTCCCCAGGGATGATTTCTTTTTTTTTTTTTTTTTTTTGAGATGGAGTTTCACTGTTGTTGCCCACGCTGGAGTGCAATGGTGCAATCTCGGCTCACTGCAACCTCTGCCTCCTGGGTTCAAGCAATTCTGCTGCCGCAGCTTCCCAAGTAGCTGGGATTACAGGCATGTGCCACCACACCTGGCTATTTTTGTATTTACTTTAGTAGAGACAGGGTTTCTCCATGTTGGTCAGGCTGGTCTCGAACTCCCAACCTCAGGTGATCTGCCCGCCTCGGCCTCCCAGAGTGCTGGGATTACAGGCATGAGCCACCGTGCCCGGCTTTCTCAGCAATGATTTCATAGCTCCTCAGAGCCCATCTTTGAGGAATGCATGCAGAACACTGTGGCTTACATTCTTTAACTTGTATAATCCCCCTTTCTTTTTCCCAACAGCCTCATGAAATCAGTACTATTATTATATGCATTTGACAGATGAGGGGCCTGGAGCTCGAATAGGGTTAATGGCTTCCCTGAGGTCACACAGTTAGTAAGTGACAGAGCTGGGACTGCAAGCTAGCACTCTGATTCCAGAGCTCCCTGTCTGACCCAGTATGCCCCAGATCTCTGTCATTAATGCTGTCACCAAGTATCATCAGCTCTTGCTTGGACACGTGGAAAGAATGATCTTCCTTACTCCCTTTGACTAATGAGATGTGAGCAGCAGTGATGACATTTATCACTGCCATGTTCCCTTTCCTTCTGTAATAGTTGTAGAAACACAACGAAGAAGCCTCCCTCAGCCTGGGTCTCTGTGTAAGGATGTTGTGAAGCAGAGGCCTGCCCTTCCACCCCCACCGCTGATCTGCAATGGGCATGCAGTGTAAACAAGAATTAACCTTTGCCATGTTGAAGCCACTGAGATGTGAGTGTTGTTACTGTGGCATAGCCTCGCCCATCCTAATTAATCCAATGCTATACTGTGTCCTGTTGATTATCTTTGGCTTCAATCCCCAAGCCTGCCTTCTTCCAACTCCCTGAAAGCAATGGCTCCACACTGATTTGAAAAGCAGCAAGAGCCAGCCTGGCCAACATGCTGAAACCCATCTCTACTAAAAATACAAAAATTAACTGGGCGTGGTGGTGGGCGCCTGTAGTCCCAGCTACTCGGGAGGCTGAGGCAGGAGAATGGCGTGAACCCAGGAGGCGGAGGTTGCAGTGAACCAAGATTGTGCCACTGCACTCCAGCCTGGGCAACAGAGCAAGACTCCATTGAAAGAAAAAGAAAGAAGAAAGAAAAGAAAAGAAAGAAAGAAAGAAAGAAAAAGAAAGAAAGAAAGAAGAAAGAAAGAAAGAAAGAAGAAGGCAAGACTCCATTGAAAAGAAGAAGAAGAAAGAAGAAAGAAAGAAGAAAGAAGAAAGAAGAAAGAAAGAAAGAAAGAAAGAAAGAAAGAAAGAAAGAAAGAAAGAAAGAAAGAAAGGAAAGAAAGAAAGAAAGAAAGAGAGAAAGGGAGGGAGGGAGAAGGGAGGAGAGGGGAGCCAGTCCCCCAAACATAGAAGCGGGGATGTGCTTTGGGAGATAAGCCCACGCTGTGCCACACTCTGGAGCAGAAGTTATGCTGAATGAAATCTCCATGCAGCCCTGGAAGGCCACTGACAGACAATCAAACTTCAGGAAACTTCAAGTTTCTATCCCATACTCATTTATTGGCTCTCCTTAATTTTATTCCGTGTTTTTAAAGTATGAACAACTGGGCTGGCAGGAGGAGGGCCGGGATCTCAAGTCCTGGGGATACTGCAGGCTGACAATGACCTTGCATGCCTGGATCTGAACATCCTCCTCAGGGTGGATGACCAGAGCAAGTAGTCGGTCTGCTAGTCGTGACTCTTCCCCAAAGAGGGATTCATGCAGGGACTGTTCGTTGTAATGCCATTTCACCGTGCGGTAGTGCGGTGCGTTCCGGCCCTCACTCAGCCGCTCAGCAAACACCAGTACCTCATACAGGAGACTCCCTGGTTGTGTGGGCTGGAACAGGTTTAGGAAGTTGGAGTGAACCTGTGATGGGAATAGAGAAAAAATGGGAATAAACTCCTAGGCAAGTTATAAAATTCTTGTTCTTGTATATTCCTATCGCCTAAACTCCCAAACATGCCTAAATTTCAGACTCAAGTATGTAGTAATTTTTTAGTTTTTCTTTTATTATTATCCTCTAACTTAATTGCCTTGTGATAAAAAAAAAAGAGTGATATGATAATATTCATTCTGGAAAATTTGTTGAGACAAACTTTAAGGCTTAGTGTGTAACTTCTTAAATATTGTGTGTATGCTTGAGAGGACTGTGCATTTAATCCTTGTAGACTGTTCTGGGTATGTCTAATGGCTCAAGCTTATTTGTGTTATTCACTAAGAGTATATCCTCACTAGTTTTGGTTTTTTAAAAAAATCTGGCTGGGCGCGGTGGCTCAAGCCTGTAATCCCAGCACTTTGGGAGGCCGAGACGGGTGGATCACGAGGTCAGGAGACCGAGACCATCCTGGCTAACACAGTGAAACCCCGTCTCTACTAAAAAATACACAAAACTAGCCAGGCGAGGTGGCGGGCGCCTGTAGTCCCAGCTACTCGGGAGGCTGAGGCAGGAGAATGGCGTGAACCCGGGAGGCAGAGCTTGCAGTGAGCTGAGATCCGGCCACTGCACTCCAGCCTGGGCAAGAGAGCCAGACTCCGCCTCAAAAAAAAAAAAAAAAAATCTATCAGTTGCTGCCAGGGTGGTAAAAATATTCCAAATCTCCCACTATAGTGATATATTTGTCAATTTCTCCTTTCAATTTTTGTCATATATATTTTGAGACTATGTTATTAGGTGCATACAAGTTTAGAGCTGCCCTACTGTTCTGGTGAACTGAACCACTGATTATCACAGAGTAACTTTTTCTATCCCTAATAAGGCTCTTTACCATAGTAATTTCCCCCCAATATTAAAATACCTACGTTAACTTTTGTTTTGTCTCCTGTGTCCCTAACTCTCAGAGTTCAGGAAACTCCTCAAGGGGGAATCCCGGCCAGGCGCAATGGTCCACGCCTGTAATCCCAGCACTTTGGGCGGATCATGAGGTCAGGAGATCGAGACCATCTTGGCTAACACAGTGAAACCCCATCTCTACTAAAAATACAAAAAATTAGCTGGGCGTGCTGGTGGGCGCCTGTAGTCCCAGCTACTCGGGAGGCTGAGGCAGGAGAATGGCGCAAACCTGGGAGGCGGAGCTTGCAGTGAGCTGAGATCGCGCCACTGCACTCCAGCCTGGGCGACAGAGTGAGACTCGGTCTCAAAAAAAAAAAAAAAAAAAAGGGGGGGGAATCCCTCTCCCAACAAAATGGCATCTCCTTCTACTGCAGGGAACAGAACAGGGATGATTTTCAATACGTTTAGTGCAGAGGCAGGAAGATAACTAAAACAACTCATCGGGGTAAATCTGTCTGGAGATGCTATGATTCTTCCCTCCCCCTATACCTGAGTTGCCATTCATCAGCCCTTCTTCAATTTCTTTCTCACCTGGCAGTTGAGAATGTCATAGAGAAGATCATTCTTCTGTGCCAGGTAGCTCAGCAGTCGTACGGCTTGCACCTGAATAAAGGAAAGAGTAAAGCATGAGAAGGCAGGTGAGTCTGAGCCTAAGCAAGGAAGACATGAACCTCTGCTTCTCCCTCTAAGTGCTGTGCTAGGGCTGGTCAGCAAGGCAGGGCCTTGGCCATGGTCTTCAGGCACCTGTGCCAGGATGTAGTCTGACTGCAGGATCTCCATCAAGGCAGGCATCACCCGTCGCAGCTGTGGATGCACATAGTCGGGCAGCGGAAGGTTGTTGAGGAGTCTGAGGCCCGCAATGTGCAGTTCTGTGTCCCAGATGGTGGAGATCAGTTCGAGTACTTTGATGGAGTGTTCCTGGAGTGGGGGAGAACAAAAGGGCTTACTTTTACAGGTGATCACCACTATCCCAGTATCTGACTTTACTCTTCACTCTCCCCATGGATGTCCCCTGGGCCAAACCCAATAGACAATTCTCCCTAACTCTCAACATCATTTGACCCAGTGACCCACTCCCACACCTTGAAATTCTTTATTTGGCTTTTTTTTTTTTTTTTTTTTACAGACTTCTTTCCTAGCTCTTCTGCCCAACCTCCTCTTTTCTACCTTCCTCATTCCTGTACTGGTATCGTCCAGACTCACAGTGTTAAATACAATCCACATGCTAGTGATTCTCCCCTTTATGTCTCTAGCTCCAGCTATGTTGCCCCTCCCCTGAACTCCAGACTCATATATGCAGCTGCCAATTCCACTTTTCTCCCTGAATATCTAACAGAGCTCTCAGAGTTAACACGCTCCCCCATCCCCAGACCTGCTCCTTCTATAGCTTTCCCCATCTCAGCTATGGGTTACACTTTCCTTCCAGTGGCTCAGGCCAAAAACTGTTGGCATCAACTCCTTTCTTTCTATCACACTCCTTTTCCAATCCTTCAGAAAATCCTGTAGGCACTACCTTCAAAATCTATCAAAATTCAAGCCACTTCTCCTCACCCCAACTTCTACCGCCCTCTTTCAAGCCACTGGCATCTCACCGGGATTTCTGCAATAGCCTCCTGTCTCCCTGCTTCCATTCTGCATCTACTTTCAGAGCAGCTGACATGTTAAACATGTCACTCCTCTGCTCAAGAGCCCCCATTTCATTCAGTGTAAAAGCTAAAGTCCTTACAGTGGCATATGGTCCGATGTGATCTGCCCTGCTCTCCCTACTATTTCTTGGACTCCATCTTCTCTTCTCTCCCTCATGACCAAGGTTCCCATCACAATGGCCTCTTACCCCTTCTGTGAACATGCCAGGTACACACCTGTCTAGGGTGTTTGCGTAGGCTGTGCTCTCTGCTTAGCACACTCTATCCCCAGAGACTCACAACTCACTCTCACACCTCCTTTAAGACTTCATTAAAATGTTACCTTCTCAGTAAGGCCTTCTCTAACCACCCCTCTCCCAGCCTTCCTTACCACCCCCCCACTGTTATTTTATTTTTCTCTATAGCACTGTCACTTGTAACACACATTTTCGTTTTTTAAATTTTGTTTTTTATTATTTATTTATTTTGAGGCAGTCTCACTCTGTTGCCCAGGCTGGAGTGCAGTGATGCCATCTCGGGTCACTGCAACCTCTGCCTTCCGAGTAGAAGCGATTCTCCTGCCTCAGCCTCCTGAGTAGCTGGGATTACAGGTGTGCACCACCGTGCTCAACTAATTTTTGTATTTTTTAGTAGAGACAGGGTTTCGCCATGTTGGCCAGGCTAGTCTTGGACTCCTGACCTCAGGTAATACGCCCACCTCGGTCTCCCAAAGTGCTGGGATTACAAGGCATGAGCCACTGCACCCGGCCTTTATTTTGAAATGATTATAAATTTACAGGAAGTTGCAAAAATAGTACAGCGAGGTCCCAGTGCTCTTCACCCAGTTCCCCTCTATGGTCATATCTTGCATTATAGTACAATTTCAAAACTAAGAAATTGGTGTTGGTGCAATATGTGTGCATAGTTCTATGTCATTTCAGAACATGCACATATTTGTGTAACCACAACGGCAGCCAACAGATTATCCCACCAGAACTGTCCCATTGCCACAAAGATCTCTCTCAAGAGACCCCTTTAGAGTCACTCCCACCTGCTCCCCCAGCCCAAAGCCCAGGCAACCACTTATGTTTTCCATCTCTATATATGACCTTTTAAATTTGAGGATGTTATATAAATGAAATCACACTTTATGTGATCATTTGAGATTGGCTTTTTTCACTCAGCATAATGCCCTTGAGAGCCATCCAAGTTGTTGTGCATATCAATATTACGTTTTTATTTTTATTACTAAGTAGCATTCCATGGTAATGGCTATACCAGTTTGTTTAACTATTCACCTATTGACAGACATTTTTGGTTGTTTCCAGTTTGGGTCTATTCCACATAAAACTGCTATCAACAATCATGTACTGGTTTTTGTGCAGATGTAAGTTTTCATTTCTCTAGGATAAATGCCCAAGAGTTCAACTGCTGGTTGGTAAATGTATGTTTAGTTCTGAAAGAAACTGCCAAACTATATTCCAGAGTGGCTGCTGTACCATTTTATATTCCCACCAGCAACATAGGAAAGATCCAGTTTTTCTATATCTTTGCCAGCATTTGGTATTGTCACTAATTTTGATTTTAGATCTTCTAATAGCTGCACAGTAATATCTCAGCGTGGTCTTCACTGCATTTCCCTAATGGCTGGTGATATTACACATGGTTTCATGTGCTTATTTGCCATCCATATATTCTCTTCAGTGAAATAACTGTTCATGTCTTTTGCCCATTTCCTAATTGGACTGCTTGTTTTAACATTCAGGGTTGTTTTTGTTTTTGTTTTTAGACGTAGTCTCACTCTGTCACCCAGGCTCTAATGCAGTAGCGTGATCTCAGTTCACTGCAACCTCCACCTCCTAGGTTCAAGTGATTCTCCTGTCTCAGTCCCCTGAGTAGCTGGGATTACAGGTGCCCACCATCACACCTGGCTAGTTTTTGTATTTTTAGTAGAGACGGGGTTTCACCATGCTGGCCAGGCTGGTCTCAAACCCCTGACCTCATGATACACCGTGCCCAGCCTAATATTCAGTTTTGAAAGGACTTGATATAATTTAGCTGAGTCCTTTATCAGATATGCGATTTTCAAATATACTCCCCCAGCCAGGCACGGTGGCTCAAACCTCTAATCCCAGCACTTTGGGAGGTCAAGGCAGGCGGATCATGAGGTCAAGAGACCAAGACCATCCTGGCCAACATGGTGAAACCCCATCTCTACTAAAAATACAAAAATTAGCCAGGCGTGGTGGTGCATGGCTGTAGTCCCAGCTACTCAGGAGGCTGAGGCAGGAGAATGGCGTGAACCCTGGAGGCGGAGGTTGCAGTGAGCCGAAATCACGCCACTGCACTCCAGCCTGGGTGACAGAGCAAGACTCCATCTTAAACAAACAAACAAACAAACAAACAACAAAAAAACAAATATACTCTCCCAGTCTGCAGCTTTTTCGTCCTCTTAACAGGATCTTTCATGGAGCAAATGTTTTTAATTTTAATAAAGTCCAATGTATTGATTTTCCTTTTATAGATCATGCTCTTGGTGTCATGAGCTCTTCACCAAGCCCAACATCCCAAAAGACTGTCTTCTCCCTTTTTTTTTTTTTTTTGAGATGGAATCTCACTCCCATCACACAGGCTGGAATGCAGTGTCGTGATCTCGGCTCACTGCAACCTCTACCTCCTGGGTTCAAGTGATTCTCCTTCCTCAGCCTCCTGAGTAGCTGGGATTACAGGCCTCCTGGATTCAAGATTTTCTTCTTGAAAACTACATCACCCCTACCCAGTCTCCTTTATCCACTCCCCAACTTTTATTTTACTCCATGGCACTTACCACATGAAACACACTATATATTTTACTTATTTGTGTATTGCTTGCCTTGCCATGTTAGAATATAAATTCCACAAGCACAGGGATCTTCCCTGTTCTGTTTACTGCTTTCTCTCCTGTACTTAGAGAGCGTGTTGGCACAAAGTGTTCAATATTACATTTATTGAGTGAATAAAGGGATCTTGGGTCCTAGGATGCAAGATGTGTGCAGGATGTGGTAGCTCACGCCTTTAATCCCAGCACTTTGCGAGGCCGAGGCAGGCAGATCACCTGAGCTTGGGAGTTTGAGATCAGCCTGACCAACGTGGAGAAACCCTATCTCTACTACAAATACAAAAAATTAGCCGGGTGTGGTGGCGCATGCCTGTAATCCCAGCTACTTGGGAGGCTGAGGCAGGAGAATCGCTTGAATCCGGGAGGCAGAGGTTGTGGTGAGCCGAGATCGCGCCATTGCACTCCAGCCTGGGCAACAAGAGCGAAACTCCGTCTCAAAAAAAGGTAAGATGCTTAGACCTAGAGGTATTACCAAAGACAGGTAACCTCCCGAGCTGCACCTTTATGAGCCATGTAAGAAGCAAGCAAGAGTTCTGGAGTGGAAGTGAGCACTCCCATCAGTGCTCTTCCCTTCCCCTACCCCTCAAAAACCGTGGAGACCTGCGGGACAGGTGGGAGTCAGCAAGTCTGGGACAGGGTTTTAGAATGAGGGAACAGCAGCAGGGGAGCATGCATGAGGGCACAAAGCATGCATCGTACATTGCTGGGGTTAGGGCAAGGAGGTGCAGCCCATCGCCAATCATGCACTTTATGCTGAGAGCCTTGAGGCAGACCCAAAGGGCCTGATGGTCCAAGAGCCCCCTAGAGAGAGTGGGCTGATTTAGGGAATGGGGTGAGCTCCATTTTGGATATGTTGGGTTAGAGAACTTGGAGGGCATCTAAGTGGATATGCCTAGTAGCAGCTGGCCATGGGGAAGGCAGGGGAGCCCACAGGCTGCAGAGATCCAGAAGGGCACAGCTCGATGGAAATTTAGACCAAGGAGTAACTACTTTCACCTGAAAAGAAACCAGGGGTCAGGCCCTCAGGAAAAAGACACTGGAGAAAAGGAAGAAAGGGGCTCAGGCTGCCTGCATCAGAATTTCCTGGGGGATTTGTGAAAAAGTTCTCCTGTTGAACTGAACTCTCTGGGCATGCAGTCCCAAAATCTTTGGTTTTTTTTGTTTGTTTGTTTGTTTTTTGAGATGGAGTCTCGTTCTGTGGCCCAGGCTAGAGTGCAACGGTGCTATCTTGGCTCACTGCAAGCCTCCGTCTCCCGGGTTCAAGTGATTCTCCTGCCTCAGTCTCCTGGGTAGCTGGGATTACAGGCGCCCGCCACCACGCCTGGCTAATTTTTGTATTTTTAGTAGAGACAGTTTCACCACGTTGGCCAGGCTGGTCTCGAACTCCTGACCTCAGGTGATCTGCCCACCTCAGCCTCCCAAAGTGCTGGGATTACAGGCTTGAACCACCATGCCCAGCCAAAATATTTGCTTTTAACAAGCTCTCCAGGTGATTATAATATGCTTGAGAATCACAACCTGACCAGGCGTGGTGGCTCACACCTGCAATCCCAGCACTTTGCGAGGCTGAGGCGGGTGGATCACTTGAGCTCAGGAGTTTGAGACCAGCCTGAACATGGCAAAACCCCACCTCTACAAAAAGTACAAAAATTAGCCGGGTGTATTGATGCATGCCTGTAATCCCAGCTACTAGGGAGGTTGAGGTGGGAGGATCACTTGAGTCCTGGAGGTGGAGATTGCAGTGAGCCAAGATCGCACCACTGCACTTGAGAAGGCTGAGGGATAAGGCAGCAAGCAGAGATCTCTCCAGGTATATTTTTCTGTTTGTTTCTCAATCTGTTTTTATTCTTTTGTGTGTTTGCTTTTATTGATATATCATAGTTGTGCATATTTTGAGGATACATGTAGAGAAGTTTTTCCCCAAAAAAGTTTGATACCAAAAAGTAAAATGTGGATCACACACGGTGGCTCATATCTGTAATCCCAGCAGTTTGGGAGGCCCAGACAGGCAGATCACTTGAGGCCAGGAGTTTGAGACCAGCCCGGTCAACATGGTGAAACCCTGTCTTTACTAAAATACAAAAAAAATTAGCCAGGCGTGGTGGTGCACGCCTGTGATTCCAGCTACTCTGGAAGCTGAGGCACAAGAATTGCTTGAACCTGGGAGGCAGAGGTTGTAGTGAGCCAGGATCGTGCCACTGCACTCCAGCCTGGGCAACAGAGCAAGACTCTGTCTAAAAAAAAAAAAAAGTGAAATTATCAAATGTTAGTGAGGTTATGACACAATAGAAAACTCGTGCAGGGCTGGTGGGGTGAAAATGGATACCACCCTCCTGGAAAAGTTGGGCATACCCTTTGACCAAACCATTCCACTCCTGCGTACACACCCTGTAATCCTCTCAGGCACACAAGGGAAATGAACACAAGAACGTTCACAGCAAAACGTGAGTGTGACAAGCACCTGGAAACAATGCAAATGTCTACCAACGGGCAAGTGGCAGAGTGTCACGAAAGAGACTGCCGTAGAGCGGTGAAAGAGACCCAGGCGGGAGGATCCCTTGAGCCCAGGAGTTCAGGGCCAGCCTGAGAAACATAGTGAGGCCCCGTCTCTACAAAAAATACAAAAATTAGCCAGGCATGGTGGTGCACACCTATAATCGTAGCTACTAGTGGGGCTGAGGTGGAGGATTGCTTGAGCCCAGGAAGTCAAGGCTGCAGTGAGCCAACATCGCGCCACTGCACTCTAGCCTGAGCAACAGAATGAGACCTGCCTCAAAAAAAAAAAAAGAAGGAAGCAGAGCTGCCCAACCACAGAATAGAAACCATCTACTTGCATGTACATGAAGCTTAAAAACATACCAGACTATATTTTACCTCTTTATTATCTGCTGTGCCCTGCTAGAATGTGCAAGGATACATACATATATGGTAAAACTACAAAGAAAATTCGGAACTGCTAAACGAAATGCAGGGCAATGACTGCCTCTGGTGGGGGAGGCAGCTGAGATGTGGGAGGGGGCTGTGCTCTATTTCTTGGCCTGGGCATGTTCTGTTTTATTGTTATTCCTTCTACCGTACACATATACGATATTTGCGAGTTTTACGTATTTCATTTGTTTTTAATTTGGGAGAGATAGACTATTTGCCAGGAAGAGATGTGGAGGTCAAGGAAGAGGTTTTTTTGGTTTATGCTTTGTAAGATGGGAGGGGTCGGAGCCTACTGTGTGCTGACGGGGAGCATAAGCAATCAGAGAGGCCCTTAAGGAAGGGGTGGGAGGCAGGATTGAGACTATCACTGGCCAGAGACCAGGAGAAAGCCATTTTTTCATGGCAGCAGCAGGAAAGCAGGGAGGATGGGTGTGGATACTATAAGTTTGGGGGTATAATAGCAGGGAAAGGGGGAAGTGACATGTGGTATTTTACATTTTCTCTATGGAGAAATGGAGAAGGTATCTGTGGCCCTGACAACCTCCGATTAACACAGCCACAGGGGATGGAGTATAAAAAATACATCTGATCTTTGTCCCTAGTTCCAGGAACAGAGCTCCTGAAACCTTTGGAATTTCCTGAGTGACAGCAGTGTCCTTTGTTACTGCAAACCAACCCTTTTTGGTCACAACAGAGCTTATGCTAATGAAGTGACTCCAGGCAGGGCCCTTGGATAGCTTCTGGTTACCAGAAAGACCAAGGCATGATTAGAAGGTTGGGATTTTCAGCTTCGCTCCCAACTTCTGGGGAAGGGTGAGCAGCTGGACATGATTTAATTCATCAAGACTACATAATAAAAACCTCTAATAAATGGAGTTCAAAGAGCTTCCTGGTTGTTGAACACGTGGAGGTACTGGGAACAGCAGGGCGCTCCTGAAGTGGGCCTGTGGCAGGCCTCCATAACAACTGTTTCAGTGCTGACTGCATGGTTAAGTTAAATGTTAAAAGCCAGTGCCCTTACACAAAGGCTGGGATGTAACAAAAGCCCACCAAGAGTTTTGCTTAGGCTTTTCCTGGGCCTTAAAGCATGACAAAATAACGAAGGAATTCTTAATGGGACCCATTCAGGATTAAACAAGCTTTACTGGGGGTCTGAGGAAGCTCCCCAGGCCTCCACAAACAAGTTTATTGGGGTCTGAAGGAATTCCTCAAAACTCCTTGATTTAGCAGGAAACAAAATAAGGGTAATCATCTCAGCACCTGGACCCATTTAGATTAAGTACATTTACTGAGGCTTCAGAGGAAGGTCTTCAGGACTCAGACCTTAGTTATAGATTAAAATAAATTAATCACTTATGTCTTTTGATGAATGCACACTTACACATAGACATATAGCTTAGAAGGTATACAAGCTCTAAAAAACTTTGTAATTTTGAGTTGGTCTGGCGATAATGTCCAGGCCTTCTCCCTGTAACCGGTTACAGAAATAAAAACTCTCTTCCTCCCCAGTTCATCTGCATCTCGTTATTGGGCCACGAGCAATAGCAGCCCGACCCTCAGTTTGGTCTGGGAACAGGCCTGGAAGCTCCATGCCCTGACACGCTGCCCTATGTGTCTCCTCCATTTGGCTGTTCCTGAGTTGTGTCCTTTATTGAAAAACAGTAGCAGTAAGTAAAGTACTTTCCTGAGTTCTGGGAGCCATTTTAGCAAATTACTAAATCTAAAAAGGGAGTTGTGGGAACCCCCGAATTCATAGCGGGCCAATCAGAAGTCAGACCTATGACTGGTACCTGAAGTTGGGGGGAAGTCTTGGCGGACTCAGCACTTAACCTGTGAGGTCTGCCCTAACTATGGATAGTGTCTGAACTGAATTGGATTGTTGAACACCCAGCCAGTGTTGGGAATTGGTTGGTGTCAGAAAAACGTGGCAGTGGCAGTAGCAGGGAGCTTGTGGGGTAGCGGGGGTCCTTCTATTTGGGGTTGAGAGATACCACTAGTGCCTCAATTCAGTTTCATCCTGAAATTCAAAGGCCTTCATGACCCTGCTGGGAATCTGACCACCGTTTTCCCACTTATTTCTGGGTTACAAATTCACACCCAAACAAACTTCTGGAACATGCCCATTTATCCTATGGCAATTAAAGGACTTAAGGACTATAGGCATCCTGCATGCCCCACCACTCATCCCTAGGCTCACCTGGATTTTAAGCCTGAATTTTCTGATGCCAGAGAAAGCTTTAAGTGTATTCAGAGCTTGGGTTTTGACACTGTTGTCCTTGTCATCCAGCATGTAGCCCAGCAACACGATGTCATCCGTAGTACAAGCAGAGGCCTGGAGTATGTGGGGAGAGATGGAAGAGGCAGGAGAAGCGGGTGTTCTGGGCCCACTGACCCCCACGTCACCAAGATCCCTCAGCACACCCCTCCCACTATCAGCCAGAGAGAGGTCCCAGGATACAGTCTGGCCATTCCAGGGGCAGGGATCGGCCATAACCCCCAGGGGCCGGGCCGGCTAGGGGGGACCTCCTACTTCCCTTCCCTCACCTCAGCCTCCAGCAAGTACACACAGCGAGTGATACTGTGCAGGATCATGCTCTTGGCGTACTCATCCTGTTTGCACTCCAAAGAGTTGAGGAGCCTCCGGAGCTCACCTGAGTCCCGCCCATGCCGCTCTCGTTCGACTGCCAGGCCTAGACAGCCACCCCAGCCCAGTTCAGGCTGTGGACTCAGAAGTGATGAAAGAATGGGGTTGGGAAGTGGGGTACAGGGACCTGGGGACAAGGCTGTCTTGCCTTTTCTTTCTTTTTTTTTTTTTTTTTTTTGAGACGGAGTCTCACTCCATCACCCAGGCTGGAGTACAGTGGCGCGATCTCGGCTCACTGCAAGCTCTGCCTCCTGGGTTCATGCCATTCTCCTGCCTCAGCCTCCTGAGTAGCTGGGACTTCAAGTGCCCGCCACCATGCCCAGCTAATTTTTTTGTATTTTTTAGTAGAGATGGGGTTTCACTGTGTTAGCCAGGATGGTCTCGAGCTCCTGGTCTCAAGCTCCTGACCTCATGATTCGCCCACCTCAGCCTCCAAAAGTGCTGGGATTACAGGCATGAGACACCGCGCTCGGCCTTGCCTTGCCTTGCCTTGCCTTTTCGGAGAAGCCTTCTCACCATATGCAGGACCACCATGTACAGTTGAACGAATGTTTACTGCACAAGGGCACCCTATCTAATATGGTATTGTCCATAATGTACCATCATAGATTTGTCCATTTACTCTAACAACTGTCTGGCATATGGCGGTAACAAGTAGTATTTTTATCATAACCAGTATATGGCAATGATATTCCAGCAGATGGCAATAAAGAGTCTTGCAGAAGGGGCTCATTTTCCTACTCTGCACAAAAGAACATGTGGACTAGTGGAAGCTGTGGGCATATAGTAAGTCCTTCAATTTTCCCTTTCCTTAAAGCCTCAAGTTCCTGGGGCAGAAAATGCAGGGAGCTGCTGACACCAAGTTTCCGAGAAGTGGAATCCTGCGAGCCAGAGGAAATGTAGCATTTGGAGACCTGCCAGATGAGTCTGAGGATCCACTTGAGTGAGTCCAGGGACCCTGAGCTAGCATCTCTAGCAGGGCCTTGCCTAGGGCGCTGCAGGGTGGGCTTGAGGAAGGTGGAGAAGAGAAAGACAAAGGAAAGAGGAACTTGGAGGCGTCACCTTTGGGCCCTCCCACAGCAGAGGCCTCGGGAGCAGGTGCCTCCTGGGGCAGAGCCCTCTCCCCAGGGCCCGGACACTCACGGGCAATGCAGATGGGTGAGTTGGTACAGAGGGGCGGTGTGCATTTTATGCCGGCCTTGATGGCCTTGTAGAGCAGGTAGATCGCCCCGGCGCCTGTGGCCAGGCTCACTACACTTTTGCGGATGTCCAGTTGCCCCAGGTATTGGGGGATGCTCTTGCCCATGACTTCAGTGTTGCCCTGGGCCTGGGTGAGAGCTAGGCCCAAGGCACCTATGGGGGGCCTTCCGGAACCAGAACTCTGGCAGGGTCAGGAACCAGGGTACCAGAATTGGAACCCAGGCAACAAAGGAAACTGGGGAGATGATGGGATGGAGGGTAGTGGTCAGGAAAAGGGGCAGCCAGGGGTGCTTGAGAACAGATGGGGCCAGTCACAGTGGCCCACACCTGTAATCCCAGCACTTTGGGAGGCCGAGGTGGGTGGATCACTTGAGGTCAGGAGTTCGAGACCAGCCTGGCCAATATGGTGAAACCTTATCTCTACTAAAAATACAAAAAAATTAGCCAGGCGTCATGGCATACACATGTAATCCCAGCTACTCAGGGGACTGAGGCAGGAGAATCACTTGAGCCTGGGAGGTTGAGGTTGCAGTGAGCTGACACGCCACTGTACTCCAGCCTAAGCAACAGAGCAAGACTTCATTTCAAAAAAAGAGAGAAGATTCTGCTTTAGAGACCACAGGAGATGAAACATAAGACAGAAGGGGAATAAAAGGGGAGAGGGCAGAAGGGTCCTTCACATCCCCTCTTCTTTAAGGTAGGGCCCCAGTAGGTAGTGCCAGAGGCTGCCCTTCTGCCATTAGAGGGCAGCAGAGGTCCATTTCTGGGCTGAGCCCTTAGGGCATTTCTGGGAGGGGTGTTTGGGGTATGCCTATTGATAACCCTGTTCCTTTTCTTTCCAGGCCTTCCCATCTGTGATCGCTCCACCCTAGATCTACCCCTGGGCCTTAGGGTGTTTCTTCAGGTAGGGTTCCCTCCCTGCATCAGAGGATGAAAAGGAGGGGAGCATCTTAGAAAGCATGCACAGACTCTGAGGCAAATCCACCCTTTTCCAGCATCTGCGCATGGCCCTAAAGTTTACCTGTTTGATAAAAAGCTCTTGAGGACAGCAACCTTTGCATCTCCAGCATAGAATCTTGTACTTAGCAGGTGGTTTAAGTCATGTTCTACCATTCTTTAAAGACTTGGGGGCAGAACAATGACAGCGTCTAGTAACTGGGGCTCCAGACCCATCTAACCAGAGTGACCTTGGAGGAGAAAGGATTGCCTTTGCCTTAGTCTGTTTCTGCATTTGTAACCTAAAGGGATTCAGATTTACCATTGTAAAACTCAAAGATTAAAATGTGAGTAAGTCTGTGCCTTTCAGCAAAATCTGGAAGTACCAACTCTCAGCCTCCCCAGAGGTACAATGAGGCTGGAGTCAGAAGATGCCACCACCCCAGAAGATGTGAGCCTACCTGTGGAGGCCTTGATCCCCACCACTAGGATGGGGCAGGTGAGACCAGACCCTTCCCTCTTCCCCACCATGGTCTCCCTACACCCTCTGACCCCACTCTCTGTCACAGAACAGGCAAGTGGCCAGCTCCAAACTAGGGTGACGCCCACAGCCAGTGCTGAGCATGCTGCACCAGAACAGGTGTTCACCCACCTGGCCCTGAGCCCTTTTTTGGGAGAACTGGGACAGAAGGCTCTGAGTCCTGGGCTGCACCCAGGATGGAAGGAGGTAGGGAAACAGGCAAACAGCATATCCGATGATGCTGTGGCCAACCAGGCCTGCCCACTCAGAGCCTTGGCCCAGTACACCCTAGGCGGCAGGCGGGGAACAAGCAACACTCCTGGGTGGCCATTCTCTTCCCATCCTCATGCCTCCTCAAGGGTCATTCCTGGCACTCTACTCAGCCCCAAGGTGGATGACTGCATGAACTCCCTGCGGTGAGGGGTGAGTAGAAGCCCACGAAGCCCCCCTACTGCTATGCAACCCCATCGCATCTCCACTGAACTCTGGGCAGAAAACGGCTGCCTGATGGGAGCTGTCATTTAGTTCCAAGACTACTTTGGTGGATCTGAGAATAAATTCCTCAAGGCAATGTCCTTGCTCTGCCCTTCTCCAGGGTGGGACCCAGAGTTACTGGCCCCTCCATCCCATGGAGCTGATTCTGCAACCCTCACTTCCTAAGCACATTGTAAGGCTCACCTGTTCTTTAAAGACCTGCAAAAAGTGTTCTTTCTTGGCTGCAACCTAACTCCCTCCTGCCACACCTAAGGCCCATTTCTTCTGGTTCTGCCCTCAAATGATTCAGAGAGATTAGAGGCAGAGTCATTCCTAGAGTGACATTTTTACTAGTCTACAGTACAACAAAAAAGTAAAGACAGTGGAATATCTATTTGTTGGCATAAAGTCCATTGACCATCTTTTCTTGGGAATAATTGTTTTCCTTCTTTTTTTTTTTTTTTCTTTTTTGAGACGGGGTCTCACTCTCTCACCCAGGTTGGAGCTCAGTGGTGTGATATTGGTTCACTGCAACCTCTGCCTCCCAGACTCAAGCAATCCTCTCGCCTCAGCCTCCCAAGTAGCTGGGAATACAGGCATGCGCCACCACACCGGGCTAATTTTTTTATTTTTGGTAGAGACAGGGTTTTGCCATGTTGCCCAGTCTGGTCTCGAACACCTGAGCTCAGGCAATCCATCCGCCTTGGCCTCCCAAAGTGCTGGAATTACAGGCATGAGCCACCGTGCCTGGCTGGGACTAACAGATTCAGATAATGTCATTCCTATTTTGAGAATTAAAATGTATTTATTAGGTCAGGCGTGGTGGCTCACACTTGTAGTCTCAGCACTTTGGGAGGCTGAGGTGAGTGGATCTCTTGAGCCCAGGAGTTTCAAGCCTGGCCTGGGCTCAAGCAAAACCCCCCCTCTACAAAAAATACAAAAATTAGTTCAGCATGGTGGTGCATGCCTGTAGTCCCAGCTACTCTGGAGGCTGAGGCGGTAGGACTGCCTGAACCTGGGAGGCAGAGGTTGCAGTGAGCTGAGATCACGCTACTGCACTCCAGCCTGGGTGACAGAGCCAGACCCTGTCTCAAAAAAACAGAAGTATTTTCTTTAATGATGGTGATAATAGATGGTAGGTACGTTCTGCATGCTCTTAGGGAGCATAAATTAAAAGCTGCAGCTCTTTATGGGAAGCTGGCTTTCACTTGTTTTCTTGCTTTTTCTGTCAAATCCAGAAATCTGGAACCACTGGTTAAAGAGAAGCCTGAGAGCCAAAATACACACAGCCAGCTGTGAGTTACTTACCTGCCTTACCCAGGAAAAGGACATGGGCTGCTCAAGCACACACCTCTTTGCCATCTATGCCAGCATTTTTACCTTCACGGCCGATGTTCTCATCACGTTAAGTACATTTGAGTTTAGTAAATAAGTACGGGTTCTAGCCAGGGTTCAAAACCAGTTCAGGGCAGGGCGCGGTGGCTCACGCCTGTAATCCCAGCACTTTGGGAGTTGGAGACAGGCAGATCACAAGGTCAGAGTGGCCAGCCTGGCCAACATGGGGAAACCCCGTCTCTACTAAAAAATACAAAAATTAGCTGGTGATGTGCACCTGTAATCCCAGCTACTCAGGAGGCTGAGGCAGAACTGCTTGAACCCAGGAGGCGGAGGTTGCAGTGAATCGAGATCGCACCACTGCACTCCATCCTGGCAACAGAGGGAGACTCCGTCTCAAAACAAACCAGTTTAGTCGCGGATTTAGCTTTGTGGTCTCCTTGTGCCTCATTTTCCCCACCTGTAAAATAGAAACAATAAGACTTACTTCATGGGATTGTGAGGATTAAGTAAAGCACTTGGAACAGTGCCCAGCACACAGAGCTCAACAAATGTTGACTATAATCCTAATTATCTCCACAGGTTTCACCTGCACAACATGTGGGGTGTGGGCAGGCAGTGAGAACACAGATGGTAGTCCTCAATGCATCCCAGCCTGAAAAGCACATGAGTCAGCCCTTCCTTCCACTTACCCACTACCTCTCACGCTAGTCGTTTTTTTTTTTTTTTTTTTTTTTTTTTTGAGACGAGTCTGGCTCTGTCTCCCCGGTTGCAGTGCAGTGGCGCCATCTCGGCTCACTGCAAACTCCGCCTCCCAGGTTCGAGCAATTCTTGTGCCTCAGCTTGCCGAGTAGCTGGAACTACAGGCGCGCACCACCGCGCCTGGTTAATTTTTGTATTTTTAGTGGATTGGATTTCACCATTTCGGCCAGGCTGGTCTCGAACTCCTGCTCTCAGGTGATCTGCTTGCCTCAGCCTCTCAAAGTGCTGGGATTACAGGCGTAAACTACCACACCAGACCTCCCTGGTCTTCTTAAAGTGAATCAATCCGAATTCCTGTAATCCATGTAACTGCTTTGAGTGACTCTGGAACCCTCTTTGAAGCCCCCACAAATACCTAAAAGAGGAGCAGGAGCGCTACACCACATCCCCCTAAACTGTGTTTCTAAGAACCATCCAACTACCTGTGGAACCCTAAGGCCCCTTCCTCATTCTCTTTACCAATATCCTGGCAATGGTTGTTTGAGCCTAGTTAATGACAGAAGCTCCAGCCAGATGCTGTTGGGGGTCCTCTACGAAAAGACACCGCCATTCCCGAGGGTGATACTGCAGCGGCCCAGTACTTGTGCGCATAGAAGCTAAGGGGAAATTGCCCTACCCTAAACTCCAGTGAAAAGCCCTTTGCAGTCCGACAGGCTTGCATTCACATCCCAGCAGTGTGGGGTTTGGACAAATTCCATAATCTGAGTCTGTTTCCTCTTCTAGAACGCGAGTCTATGAATTCCTGTCTACTGCCTGGAAGTGCCGCTGTCAGGACTGACTAAGATAATGTGTGTACTTTCGGTGCACAGGGGACGCTCAACACGTGCGAGCTTCCCTTGCAGAAAACCAAGAGATGAAAGGCTGGGGGCCGCCCCTGCCTTGACGTGCATCCCATACTCTCCGAGATCATCTCTCCCCAGCTAGCGCTTACTCCTGCCCAGGAACCAGATCCTGGGGCCTCCGGGTAGCTCCGGCTAAGGAGCGGGAAAAAGAGGGGGCCAGCGCCCCCAGAGGAGGAGGCTGGGGGGGAAGGAGGCCGCGCCTTTCCCCGCCCCGGGCCTCCCCCCGTCTTGCTCTCCCTCCCCGGACTACCTCCTCCCCCCGCGCGCATCCGGCGACGGGCACAGGATGTTCTTTCGCTCCCGTCCCCGCTCCGCCCCCGCTCTCACTTTCTCTTCGCTCCCCTCCCCCACTCGCGCCGCGCCCGGCGCCGGCACCTAATTTAACTCTTTCTCTCCCGCGCTCGGCGGCGCCTGTGCGCCTCCTGGGCGGGGGTCCCATCCTTCCCGCCCGACCCCCAGGACGTGGAGCGAGGGGGCTGCCCGGGAAGGGGCGGGCCTGAGCTGAGCGCTGGGCCCAG